CAAAGAAAACAGTAAAAGTGAGGAATACTTCTATTGCTTACGATTTGTATTTATCTTTAAGAATAAATAATATATTACTGATATAAATATTGCATAATTAAAATATGTACTCAATATAAAACATACCCATTTACAGTATCAAAATATTCATTTGTATGAAAACATCTTGTTAAAGACTGAGTACTACATTGATAATTGAAAATTCTTTGTTTGATTCACTAACAATAAGCGAATTTTACATCATTTCAATCTGTGGATTCTCAAGAATATTGTGTACGGAAGTGAAAATGATGCTCATGACTATTGTTAATCATTCAATATAGCAGAAAGTTAATCATTTTTGTCTAATGCTTTTTCCATTAATAATCAATAAATGAATAGAAGAAGAATCTATTAGTAAGCAAATTATTCAAAGGTAAGATCAACATATTAAGCATCGAACATGCTTTTGATTGCTACTTTTTTTCCATGCTATAGACTATTAGTATTAGTAAAATGTGTTCTTTTTCTAGAAGTGTAAATCATAAGTTACTTTTTTTAGGTTTAGCTTATTAATATAATTATTTCTTTCGGATTAGAAGCAGACAGTATTCTTTTTTTTTGTTTTAAGACTATGTGATAGCTTACATGAATAATTTACTTTCGTTACAAAAATTTTCCAAAAGGCATGTGACGTATTTTGCATGAGAATCTTTCTATTATACGAGTAATAGTTCGAGGCCATAAAATTGTCATTTGAGTTGTTTTACAAGAGTATGTCGAGGACAAAAAAAAAAAAAGAATAACGTGTTCAATGATTATACTAAGAGCAATGAAGAAAGAAAATTAAGTGGAAAAACAAATACTCTCCTTCGGGATTTTTCTGTATAAAAATATTTTCTTTTCTAACTCCTAGATTTCATTTTCTTTTCTTTGTTTTTTTTGCATGAATTATATACTTTCATCTTGTCACAATAATTGCTTATATGTACACACAAAATATTCATTATATCAAGTATCTTTACAAAGTTGAACATAGCTCTTTTTAAATGAAGTTTACGTAATTATTAAATAGAAAAATATTTATTCTTTTTTTTGCACTGTAATTCAGCAAGGTATTATCTCAATAGTTCATTGATATTAAATGTATAATCTATACAAAGTAATACATATTGAAGTGAATATATAGATTTTTTTTTGTTTTTATATTTGGAAAATATTCAAATTTCTGAAGAATGCACAGAAAGAAGTCAAAACAAGAGACACATAGACAACTAATAATATAACAGGGAATAAAAAAGAGATAAAGAAAAAGTATTTGAAGTTTGACGTAAGTATACCAAAACGCGTTTTCTTTCATTCATAGTAAGTTGTGATGACATGAAACGTCTTTGAGTTAGACTGTTGCTTCTTTTATATATCTTATAATTAACTTCTATCGTCATTTTTCATCCGTAATCCTGACAAGATTTAGAGACAAAATAAATCTCTTAGGAGAAAAAAAAAGGGATGTCTTATAAATACAAATAGGAAATAGTGTTTGAATCAGATGTCATTCATATGTAAATAGGTAAGGTGGAAAACAGGAATGTTCTTATATATATTTTTCTTCTCGAGAAAATCAGTTCTGACAACTAAATTTCATTAAATAACAATGTTTATATCCAAATGTAAAAATCAATTATTACTCAAGCAAGAATTATAATCGATAAGAAATAGGAAAAAGAAAAAAAGAAAATACTATGTGAGTTATTCTATTAAAGAAAAAATATTTTGTGGTGGTCTTCTTTTTTAGATGATTATTTATTAGATATTTCATATACTTGAAAATGTTTATTTCGAATCAAACAAATCTATGTCTAAATAGTGGACTTCTTTTTGATACATCTTCAAGATGTTTTGATGATATATCTCCTCCAAATATAATCGATTGTGATCTTATGATTGTTATATATCGTTTGATACTAATTGATTGTTATATAGAAAGATTATTTTTTCCAACAGCTACAACTTTAATTTTTATTGGAACTATACTTAATCTATTTTCATTATATTGTTTTCTTAAAATGAATAAACGTAATTCACAAAATGTTTATCTATCTGCATTAGCATTAGGAGATACAATTAATTTACATATAAATTTTACAATTCCAATATTAAGACAAATTGATACAATCGATGATTATTTTCATAATTCTTCAATTCTATGTCGAGTAAATGGCTTTTTAATGGAATTTTTTTTAATATTTCCAACATGGATCGTTGTTTTATTAACTTTTGAACGTTTAATATGTGTTTTACGTCCTCTAAAATGTCATTCATTATATACACATAAACGTGCAAGAATTTCGATAATTATATTAGGATTAATCGTTATATGTTTATGTATTTATCGTTTTTTCGATTTAAAAGGTATTGATCAAGCTAGTGTATTTTCAATAGTTGCATGTGATGGAAATACATATAAAACATTGGTTATAATAAGACATGTAAATTTAATTATTTGGGCAATTTTACCGGAATGTTTAACATTAATAATCAATTTAATCATCATTTATAATATAAAATTGGCTACACAAAGATTTGAACCACTTTATTCCCACGCACGTCAAGCGAAATGCAATCAAGCAACAAAAACAGTTTTACTAATCTCAATATTATTTTTAATATTTCATACGCCAACAGGTACAAATTTATTGGGTCAGAATGACATCATATATAGTTATGTTTGTTTTTTCCTTGATAGGTATCATGATTGCTCTCAATTTAATTTATGCTACTGAACAAAGAACAATCGGTTTAACAATAATTTTTGTTTCAAGAAAATTTACAGTTATACTTTATGAAATAAGTTTATGTTGTAAATTTTTTATTTATAATCAAACATTTCGAAATTTTAAGTAAGTTAAGAAAAAAAAAAACAAATAAATAAATAATGATTCGAAATTTTTTATTTTTCTCTTTAGAGATATATTTTATACATCTATATCACGTTTTACTCGTCATACAAATTCAGCTAAATTAGGTCGACCTGTTTTTGCTACAAATCATGTACATTATCATCCGACAAAATCATTTCAATTTGGTCAAATGAAATGTAATACTCTTTATCAAGCTAAAGAAACTGATTTATTAATTAATCAACATCGTAAAGGTTCATTAATAACATCAATAAATATATCAAAAGCAAGTCGGGGTCAACAACAAGAACAACAACCATTGAATGTTGTAATGACGAAGATAAATGATAGTATGAGCATAACATTACCTGAGACATCCGTTTTATTAAGAAGATATACAATAGATACCAGACTGCCATCCGATAAGCGATTATTATGGCGTATTAAATCTCAAATAACCTTATGAAAAAGAATCTTATCATTGTTAAACCAAAAATAATTAAAAAAACATTTTAGGTAATTTCAAATAATGATTCCATGATAGAAATGTTTTAAAATAAAATTTCATTAAATTCATATGTTTCATTTGAATTTATTTACTCAACTAAATATATCTTCATAACTTTTGATTTTTTTTTTTTGTATTTTGAAAGAAAAACTAATTATAATTAATTATATTGACATAGAGTTTCAATTTTCTTTTGTATTTTCGATCAAAATTTTCAAATATAAATATGAATAGAATAAAGAGTTTACTTTACAGATTAGCCTATGCTTTAATACTAACTGACTATTTGCATTAAAAAAAAAGTACAGAGGTCTTACAAGAACATATTTCGAGCACTATGGATTTTTCAAAATAAAATCTAATTGATTCATATATACAATCAAAGTTCATTTGTTTATGAACGTTTTCATGGTAAATTCGAAATATTTTCATTTCAATTATAGATTGTAAATAGAATCAATCTTTGCAATATACTATATCGATAGTTAGTTATTGCTACTAACAAATTATGTAGGCATTCTTTTTATAGAAAAATAACTAAAGGTGAAGAATGATGCAAAATTATTGTAATAGCTTTTTTTTCCCCTCAGGCTTTATTTTCATAATAGAATTATTCATTGAAAAATAATATTTTGAATCTATTGACCGTATACAAATTTATCTTCGTTTACATTTGAAATCTGGAATACTTATGTTCATTCGATGTATCGTTTAATTATTGTTTTAATGAAATTTTCTCGATATTTAATTCATTTCATAACTAATAGAACTTTGTAAGCGTTAGAAAAAGCAAGTATACTTTCAACAAGATAAATAATGAATCATCTCAAACAAATATCATATTTGGAATTCACGCAAGAATATGAATCGATTTATGCATGTTTTTAAATTTTTTCTTATTAAATTTTCATTTGTGGATCTCTTAAGAAATAAATGAATTTAATTAAAACGATTCTTTTATTGTTTAATAATTTATCTGTTAGTCTTTAAATAATATTTTACAAGTTTAGAACTTGTTTTTCTTAGCTTCAAAGACTTTTTGATTAAAATTATGTTTTCACATATCTCTGAGAGTTCATCAATAAAAATTTTTTTTAGGAAAAAACAAGTAACACAAAAACTTCGAAACATACATAAAAAAAAGGTTATCAAAATAATTTTGAATCATTTTTTCACAGTTATTTGTTTCCTGTCAAATGAATATTTACATAACTTGTTAATATCAATAACTAACTGTTCATTTCGTATATCGTGATGATAAATCTAATATAAAATGTCTCGATTTTTGTATGAAAACGTTTAGAAAGTGATAATCTATTATTGATATATGACTCAATTAGATTTAACCTTGAACATCAGTAGAGGTTGAAACAGTTCATTATATACTGCCCTCGTTTCTTAATGTAAAATTATCATGAGAAATTACCTTGAACGAATGCATACAATATTCAATCGAATATGTCCTTCTACAACTTGAACGATTTCTTCTCTTTTTCTATTCTGTTCTTCTCCTTTTTTTTTTTTTTCTTTTTTTTCTATTATTTACGAATTCCCAATAGTATAAATAGTCACTGATGATTATTGAAAATTATTCTTTCATCGTGTGAGTAAAGTTAGTTTTGAGATAGAATAGATCGATGTTGTTGTTGTTGTTGTTGATATGATTGATTTGATGTTGCTGAATGAAGTGTACGAGAATAGTTAATATAGTTAACAAAACTTTGGGGACTTTTTAAATCATTATTAAATAATGATGATATTGTTTGTGTTGTTGTTGTTGTTGTTGTTGCTGTTGTTGAACTATTTCTTGATATTGATGTTCTTATAGGAGATTTTTTTTCTCCTAATACACGTCGTAAAGTTGAATCATCATTTTGTGGACGTTTTACACGTGAAGATATATTTTGTTGTTTTATATTTCGACGTCGTTCAATATCTCTAATAGAAGCACGAATATAATCATATATTGTTGAATATTGACGAGAAGAATTTATTTGTTTTGATGATTCTGATGAATAACATGAAGATGAATCTTTAAATTTTGATTGAGATGATTTTTGATTAGAAGATAATAATGAACAAGAATGATGATATTCATTATTTTTAGGTATTTTATCTTGTTTTATTTCATCTAAATATGTATTTCTATATGCAACATCTGGTGCAAGACTTAATTGATTGTTTTTATCAGAATATCGTTGCCAACCAAATGATGAACCTGATGTATCATGTAAATCAAGATTATTAACATGTAAACCAATAATATGTGGTGGTTGACGTTTTTTAGGTTGATAAGGACGATGTTCAGTTGTAGGACTAGTATCATAATCTCGATATTTATCATTTGGTACTGTTAATAGAAGAACACTAGGTGGTGGTGTATGTTTTTTATGAAAATACAATGTCATATCAACATCAACAGTACTCATCGTTTTGTATTTTGCGTTTTTTTTTGTTCGTTATTATTCGTAGGTGAAAGAATAAAGAAAGTGATGTATGTTTACATATAGCATGTTACTAGACACTTGAATAGTGAGTGTTCTCTACAATAGTAACAATTGCATAGCAAATATAATTTCATTTTTTTTTTTGAAAACTATTGAATCTTCGACAACAATATTATTTCATACAGTTGACATTCTCTTTATGCTTTTTTTTTTTCATATTGATTGCGCACTTTATTGATTTCTCTTTCTTTTATGTTGTGATTGGCATCATTGTAATTTTGATTTGTATGTTCAGGTTTCTTATCTATACATATATTTTTTTAAAATTAATTGAAATCTTAGAAAGAAAAAACGGTAAGCTAATAGAAAATTTTTATAATTGATTTCATCGAGATATTTAAATAAATATTGAAATGTAATCAATTGTATTATGAATTAATTTAAGTTATAATTATTCGTTTGTTTTTTTTTTTAAAATAAAAATTAGTTTTCTAAGTTATCAATGAATGAGATTAAATAAATATAATTGTTTTTAATTGATAATTTTTAAATATTATTTTAATGAAATTCATTTGTAACTTCATGAATTATAATTTTAGTTTTTGTTTGTAGAATATGCAAAAAAAAAACGCATAATTAACCTTTTATATAAAGCTACAATTTGTTTCTATTTATAGAGATAAAATTATTATTTATAATCATTGATTGTTAAATTGTGCATGTAGAAGAAATATGACAGTTTAATCATTATATAGAAAGGTTTCATTACATATAAATAAATATAAATAAGTTCATACGTTTTCTGTCCATTGGATATACCTTTTGATTTCAAGTCATTTTTTCAGTCAATAAAATTTTGTCGATGATAGAAGTACTCATAATAAACAATAGTAGACTATTTGATTAGGAAATAGATAATTGTTCAAGTATTTTAAATTACTGATGATTTTTATCTGGTTCGGAGTACATTGAAAATCTTTAAAATGACTCATTGCTTTAGTCTTTTTATAAAATGATTTAGATTCGTTCGATTGTCCAAATTTGATTATTGATCAATTCAATTTGTGCATATTCGATGTTGAGAATACTTTTCTTATTCAGAGAAAAAAAAACTTAAACTTCTTATAATATGATATTTGTTAGAATAGTAATCTTATTCTAGAAAAAAAAAATAATTTGAAACGTATTTGATTAAATAATACATAACAATGAGAGAAAACATGTATGACTTCTTATATTTATGAATACATTTCAACGATGATCATAATACAAATCATTATCTTTTTGTTCTTGTTCAAATCGAAGTCGTTCTTTCTTTCTTTCTTTCTTTTTTTTTTCTTACTTTATGTCAATAATAGACACTTATAAAAATGTAAACTGAGAAAATAGAAGAATAAAAGAGAATTGTCTATTGTCGATCATATTCATGATTTTTATTAAATCATCATTGATGTTTGTTTTTTTTTTTTTTTTGTTTTTATTAATAGAATAAAACAAAAACAGTAAATTGGAAAATTTAAATTTATATAAAAGTAATTAAAATGGCATGTTATTTTAAATAAAATAAAAATTTTTGTTCAAATAATAAGTTAATTGATGCCTACATCGAGTCAATCTCAAATACTTTCTGTTGTTGACTATCAATTACTTCAACAACAAGCACAACAACAACAAACAGCTAGTGGTCAAGATGTAACAACAAAACCTTCTGGTTTTAATCTTATTAATCAAACATCAATTATTGAAACAAAACGACGTCAGTCAAAAGATGATCGACGTCCATCATTTGGAAAAAAAGATAATGATGATAATCAATCCCCACCACCTCCAAATATCAACATTCGTAGAAGAAATTCAGCTAAAATTACCGATGGTAAGATTTAAATAAACAAAACTAATGTTGTATATCACAAAATTATTCCTTTGACAAAAAAAAGTCAAAAAATTTTTCGATATGTAAATCAAAACCTTTCTATTCTTAGAATTATGATTATTATCTATTTGTTCATTATTCATAAGATTTTCTTATTTATAATTAACATTTAATGAAATTTCTTTATATAATACAAATCTTAATTGTTAAATATTCTAAGGTACAACATCATCTCGACCAACACAACGTAGTGATTCACTTCGTATGCCAACAATTTATCTCAATCATATGGGTAATAATGAATCAAAAACGGCAACACAATTATCACAATATCGTCGAAGTTCATTAAATGATGATAATTATATTGAAAATGAAAATAAAATAAAACAAATTAAAAATTATCCAACACCAATAACACCTGATAATGAAAATAATTCATCATCATCAGATTTTGAATGTACAAATAATAATGAAAATAATCTTAATCGTGAACAACCATCGAGTTTATTAAATGATTATGCACGACGTCTATTTATATTGGGTACAATACGTCCATCAAAAACATTTTATAAAGATTTACCTCAAGATGATGTTGAACATCTTATGGAATATTTTCGTCGAATGAGAAAAACAAATCAAACATTAACATCAGAAGAAATTAATCAAGAATTACAAAATAAATTTGTTGAATATAAACCTAAAATTTGTAAGTTACAAAATTTGACTTATTTAAAATGATTGAATAAATTTTCATTAGTTTTTGATTCTGCTACTGTAACAAAAAGTCAAGTAATCAATATAGAAAAAATTATTGAACAATATGCTGATAAAATTCGAGCAAATAAAGTTGAATTAGCTAAACTTGATAATCCAATACGTTTTGTTATTAAACAAATTGATAATGATACACCATTAACAACAATTCCACGTGAATATAATGATTGTTTTTTAACACTTGTTACTCGATCAGATCCATTACGTAAATCAGATTTAATAACGGAACTTGCTCGAGATAAATTTGTAGAAGATGTTAAAGCAAGTGCATTAGATATAAGGTAAGATCATTTTTCAAATATATAATATATTTATATTAGATTTTATTTTAGTTATTTTCCTGGTGGTATTAATTATGATGTACCACATGATAATATTGATGAAAATGGTCAAATGAATATTGAAACATATCAAAAATTAAAAAAACGTTTAAGTCATCGTAAAATTTGGTATTTTAGTGGTCCACCAGAAAAAAAACCTAATGCTCTATTAGCGATTATTCCATTAGATTTATCAATTAATATAAATCATCAACGTTTACTTGATTATCTTTATGATCATTTAAAAAATCTTTCAATTGATGGAAACTTTGTTAAACAAGATCAAATATTATCAATTGAATTCATGCCATTAAGTTGTATATTAAATTCAAATGATATTCAAAATCAATTTATTATTGATTGCGATTCAATTGAAACAAAAGAAAAATTAATGGAAAAACCATTTAAAATTTCTTTTAATAAACAATCAATTACAATTGAATTACGTTCGTATGATGATAATATGCATAAAGAATATGAAAAATCAATTAAAGCAGAAAAATATAGAGAATTAATTAAAAATCATGAACAAGCTATTAAACGAACATCAACAAAATAACAAATCACGAACACTTATTTTTTTTTGTGTTTCAAAAATAAAAATAAATTTTTATCACTTTTTACATGATCAATCATAATTATTCGAGAATGTTTCATATTTCATACAGAATAAAGTTTAGAAAACAAAACAATAGAAGTTTTTTATTGATAATATATTTATTGTATATCATTGTACAATAATTTTCACATTTTCATTGTCATTTATTGTCGATGAAATCCTGACATTGCAAAAAACCAGTATCGAATACGTACTTGTTGATTATCTCTCTCAGTAACGGATAGTTTAATTCAATGAACGTCCATTATGTTATCCGATACGAATATATGAGGAATTCAACAGAAATGTTGAACACATTTATACATAAATATTTCGTCTCTCTAAGCAAACTGATCATTTTATATAACAATATACTAAGTAAATATATATATTCTTTTTTTGCTATCTTTCTTCTCTTGTGTGAGCCAATATATTCATAGCATAATACATGTATATATATGTCGGAGTAGAAATTAAAATTCAGTAGAATTTAAAATTCTGCTAGTAGAGATTAAAATTTCAATTTATACCAGGAGAAATCGAAATAACAGGCGATTTTAAGTTGCACTAGTAGAAGTTAAAATTTTAATTTCTACTACAGGAGAATTTTAAATTCTACTAGAAACTTATACTATAGACGTATGCGAATTTCTCCTAGAATAGAAAATAAAATTAACCTGTATGTGATCACTAGATTATTTGATTTAATGCCAAAATCAACTTGTAATTCGCCAATAGTAACTAATTTAGCATGTTTATTGATTTAGAATTTAAACTGAGCTTCACTCTAACCATCTTTTATTACAAATATGATGCCATTGTAACCAACTTGTGTGATAAACACTTTGAGAGAAATCTTTCCCTAAAGATTCTATATGTTTATCAAATTTCGAATAAAATAGTTCTATTTTATATCATATTGAAGTGTTTTTTCTTTTGATACTGACGCGAGAAGTTCAAATTAAATATCCAAAATCCTTTTTTTCTTTTCGTTTGACATATTGCATAATTAGAATGAGTGTTAATTTTATTTTCTATTCTAGGAGAAACTCGCATACTTCTATAGTATACGTTTCTAGTAGAATTTAAAATTCTCCTATAGTAGAAATTAAAATTTTAACTTCCACTAGTGCAACTTAAAATCGCCTGTTATGTCGATTTCTTCTAGTAGAAATCGAAATTTTAATCTCTACTAGCAGAATTTTAAATTCTACTGAATTTTAATTTCTACTCCGACATATACATAATTATTATTTAATAGAAAGAATTGAGACTCTTCATCTGAATTTCTATGAAATCAATTCGTTAAAAAGTCTTTTCATCTGTTATGAAGTTCACCAGTTAATTGAAAATTATTTTTTCAGACATACAGAGAATGAGATTCACCATAACATGTCCAATTTGATGAAAGTATTAATTCTTTCTAGAATCTCATCAATGCCAATCTGTATATCAATCATATCAATACATCTTACTTATACTCATCTATTCTAAATTACAGTTTTTATTTCTTTATTTATTAAATGATAGATTTACTCTAGGATTTGAGAATTAACTTTTACTTAAATTTCTTGGTGATATTTGTTCCTGATGTACTATTTACACAAGAAAAACATTGATTTATTTATTCATTGAGGATAAGTTTCGTACTAGTATAAATTGATTTGTTGGATGAAATAATAATATTATACTACAATTTAGATCAACATTCAACTTTAATATTAGATTTTGTTTACAAAAATATTTTTTTAAGTTAGATTTGAAGTAGCAATAATTTATATTTATATTTCAGATTTTGTATCTTAATATTTTTGAACACTATGATCGTTAATAGAATCGATGACAATAATGATAATCCTTAAAAAGACATTATCTTTAAATAATATTTTCATATTTAAATTCTTCATTATGTGTTTCATAGAACAATGATAACATAAATCATTAATATAGTACTATTAGCTAACTTAACTACTTAATTATATACAATCGTATGATTCGATTATAATTAATAGATATCTATAGCTCGGATCCATCAAAACAGTCACATTCAAGTTTATGAAGAAGTAATTCATTCATAATGAAAACAAATTATACTTTGGAGTGGGTGTGGCTGTGGTTGTGGCTGACGGTGTGGGTGTGAATCTTCTTTTAACCCACACCCACCCACCCCCACCCGCACCCACCCACACCCAATCATACCCACACCCACACCCACACCCAGACACCCACACCCACACACCCAATCACACCCACACCCGCACCCACACCCACCCACACCCACACACCCGCCCACACACCCATACCCACACCCACACCACCCACAGCCAGCCACACACACCAACCCAAACCCACACTCACACCCCACACTCACACCTACACCTCACGCCCACACCCACACCCTTAACCCATTCGACCCGATAGGTCCCACCGATGAGACCCATAATGACTGACAGAACTTTGCATTTCGTATTGTAATCTCTAAAGATGTCTTATTAGGAAAGCAAACTATACCAAAAGACGCAGCATGAAAAGCTCTACAATATAGAAAATAAAGCTTATTTGAATTTGTGTACTTTTTGTTTTCAAAAAAAGCAAAATTCGATGCAATCATATTTTGTTAGAGAATGGTGAGACCCACCGGTGGGTCTCATCGAGTCGAATGGTTTAATAACCTCCTGAAACGAAAAACTTCGAAGAGAATAACGAAGTAATATCCAAGTATATCAATAAAGTCTCCAAGTACTGATAACAGTATTTGACATCGATAACAATACTCAAAAAGATACTGTAATTTGAAGGAAAAACAGGTAAGAGCAAAACGTTATAGTCAATATCGCTCACAGCATTGTTGACTTTCAGTTTACGTTATATAAAGTAGAAACAAAAGTCCACTCTCAGTATCACATCAAATTGAAGCAAACAACTGAATGGCCGATTCGAGTGCTACTAGTAACAATGTGATAAATAAAAGACTGAACTCCTCTGTAAGTGACAATACATCAGAAGAAAACAACAACGATTGGTCAACACCTTCACGGTTTCCTCTCATGGAAAATTTTGTTGTTATATGGCTGGATGAAAACATGAATCATTCGAATGATGATACAAGAAATTCAATCACTAAACTTCGGTATATCATAAATTCCGTCGCAACATTTACTGACACGAATGAATGTATTGAATTTCTTAAAAATATCAAGAATGAAAGGATATTCATGATTTTTTCATGTTTTATGGCTCAACAACTTTCATCATTGATTGAAGATATTCCTCAGCTCCAGTGCATCTATATATTTTGTACTCATCAATCACAACATGAACAATTGCCAAATGGATGTATAAAGACAAAAGGCACATTCACTCACATTGAGTCTATTTGTCTCGAACTCATACGACAGATTCGTTCGTCCGAAGCTGACTTGACATCAATCAGTATCCTTCCCATCATCACTCCTTCTACTAGACTTGATGAACTTGATCAAACATTTATGTATACACAACTACTTAAAGAAATTATTCTTGAAATACAATATAATAAAAAAGCAAAACAAGAGTTTACTGATTTTATTAGTATTCACTATGCTAACAACAACGTTCAGCTGAATAAAATTCAGGAATTTCAGCGAGACTATGAAATTCGTAAACCAATTTGGTGGTATACAAAAGAACCATTTATCTATTCGGTGCTTAACGAAGCTCTTCGAACGCAAGATATTGAAGTCATCATCAAAATGGGCTTCTTTATTCAAGATCTCCATCGACAAGTCCAAAAAGTTTATGATGAAGCACAGTATACAGCACAAATGATACTCTATCGAGGTCAAGGAATCGCAAACTTTGAGTTCGAAAAATTAAAAAATAACCATGGCGGCCTTCTTTCATTCAATCAATTTTTGTCTACCAGTATCGACCATGACGTTTCATTAACATTTGCAAAAAGTCAGTTAGCAAATCCTGACTTAACAGGGATTTTGTTTGAAATGAAAATCGATCCAAAAGAATCATCGATTCCGTTTGCTTCTTTGGAGAATATTAGTTACTATTCACACTTCGAACAAGAATTCCTTTTTTCAATGCACACAGTGTTCCGCATTGGTGAACTGAAACAGATCGAACATCGACTATGGCAGGTGAATCTCAAACTGACGGCAGACGACGACGAACTACTTCGTGCACTCACTAAACGAATGAGAACGGAGACCTTTGAAGGATCAGAAGGATGGTACCGATTGAGTGCATTACTCGTTAAACTAGGCGAATTCGACAAAGCCGAAGAGATATGCGCAGTACTACTTCACTCGCAATCCAACGAGAATGAGAGAGCTCACCTCTATAATAACCTTGGAATTATCAATGTCGGCCAGGGCGACTATCCACAAGCAATTTCAACTTACAAAAACTTACTTCAAACCTACCAAAAAAAACTTCCTCCAAATCGTCACAGTTTCGCTACTTCCTGCAACAACATCACTGGGGTGTATTTCCATATGGGAGAGTACTCCCAAGCACTTTCTTTTTACGAAAAAGCACTTGAAATCCGGGAAAAAACACTCCCTCCAAATCATCCCGATTTGGCTATTTCCTACAACAACATCGGTTTCGTGTATAACAACATGGGAGAGTACTCAAAAGCACTTTCGTCTCACGAAAAAGCAGTTGAAATCCTGGAAAAAACACTCCCTCCAAATCATCCCGATTTGGCTACTTCCTACGACAACATCAGTTCGGTGTATGACAACATTGGAGAATACTCGACAGCACTTTTGTTTCACGAAAAAGCACTTGAAATCCGGGAAAAAGCACTCCCTCCAAATCATCCCGCTTTGGCTATTTCCTACAACAACATCGGTTTCGTGTATGACAACATGGGAGAGTATTCGAAAGCACTTTCATCCAACCAGAAAGCATCTGAAATCTTCGAGAAAGCACTCCCAGCAAATCATCCCCTATTGGCTACTTCC